GTCTGCCATAGCTGAATTCCATTTTCTGTCCTTCCTCTAATACAGGGCTACTGTGTCCCCAGCCAACCCTATAAGACACATTTGCAGCTACGAACAAGAATGCCATTTTCTTTTTATGTCAACGATTTCTATTGATCACATCATATTTAATGCATTCATTTCCTAGATTGCTGTCTGGGGCCTGGAGCACTATATTTAAACCATGCCTGATGTGCAGAAGAAAAATTAAATTTGACTTTTAAGGTTTAAAGAAATGACTTTGTAACAGATCTGGAACTCTATTTTTCACATTTTCCTTTAAATGGAGAATTTCAAATTCGATAAAGTTCCATCTCTTTCTCTCTCGTTTTTTGACTCGAAATTGCCATGCTCATATATAATATGTATAAAGATTGGCAATTCTGAAAACTGAAATAGAAGTAGTGTATCTCCATTTAAAGTGGTATAATTTAAAAAATGGAAAGGAAAGCATGTCAATTTGAGATTGACCCAACAACTTTAGTTCCCATAAAGGCTAAATCACATATCCAAGGCTTGATGATAAATCATTAGAGTTTGCCAGTTGTATAAGATGTGTAGTAAGCCATCTGGCTTTATTCAGTTTACATCAGAGTAACGAGTTTTATTCCAAGTTTCTGATATTTCCACAGCTCATAAGTAATGAGACTACTGGTAGAGGCTATATCATAACCTAATTTCTGGGGGGGGGGGTTACTTGATTTTTATTTGTTTTCTATAGCAAATCAAAGTCTGAACGCCACTTCAAAAAAGCAAAGAATGTCACTGAATTGGAAAAACTACGGTCCCCAAGCTTAGGGATAGCCATTTGCCAAACCCATGCATTTTACCCCACTGTATGCTCCTGTTCTCTCTCAACCGATTTCAAGGAGGAAAAAATCAAGACCACAGTTATTCCTGCATAATCCACCCCGCTCCCAATTTACTTTGCTTTTTTCAAATCCTTTGCCGCAGAAAGTACCTTTAAGGAAAACAGACTTTGCCCAGGCCCAAACAAACTAGAAAAGAAGACTGTTCGACCCAGCTTCTGTGGGAAGAGAAAGCATCATCATTGCCTCCTTCCCCTTTCTTTCTCCACTATTCCTTCTGGTCGCCAGCTCCACCCCATTCCACGCAACTCCTAACCTCGGAGAGTCTAAAGCCAGCTGCAGCTGCAGCTGTTGGCTGGTCCTTCCCTTGAAACAATGGGGCTTAAGCAACAAAGCAGATGCATTTTTAAAAGTTGAGCTGTAAAAGATGAAACCATGCATATCACCTTTAAAATACTGTCTGAATCTCCTCTCTCTCATCTCTCTTCTTTCACTCAAGTATATAGGAGGCTTCCTGAAAGTAAAGCTTTTCCCTGCAACGATGGTTCTCGACCTTCAGCCTGTATCATAGTCACGTGGAAGACTTGCTAAAACACAGATTGCTGGGTCCTGGGCCCAGACTCTTTCATTCAGTTGGTCTGGAACGAGCCCTGAGAATCTGCATTTGTAAGAAGTTTCCAGGTGATGTTGATGCTGCAGGTCCACAGACCACACATTGAAAACTACTAGCCTAGACAAAGAACAAATTGCTAAAGGAAGACAGAAAGATCAGGAATTTAAGATTCTATTTGGTATCACCTCCGGGTGTGTGGCGCTGGGAGGGCTGAGTTCACTGGTACAAGGAGATTAATACAGGAAGGTGGAGTTAAGAGCAGACCAGCTGCTTGACTTATTTCCCTTCTCTGCTGGCCCTTTAAGATACTCAGAATAAAAGTATCAAAGAAAGCGAAATTATGCAAATACATATGATTATTTGTAGCCAGTCAGCTCTTCTGATTCCCCTTGCATCTTGGCTGCTCGTAGAGTTATGCATTAAGTGCCTGAACCGGACAGATTTGAGTTCAAGTCCTGCCTTATTTGCTGTGCGACCTTCAGCAAGTCAGTGAATCTCTGTGTTTTCATTTCTCCCACATCAAAAATGGGAACAATAGGGGCGCATTCGAGTGCTTTCATCCTTTATTTCAAAAAATGAGGCCTGATTTTTTGACCTCATTTTTGACCTCAAAACGACTTGGTGGCTGAGTCGTTAAGCGTCTGCCTTCGGCTCAGGTCATGGTCCCGGGGTCCTGGGATCGAGCCCCGCGTCGGGCTCTCCGCTCCGCAGGAAGCCTGCTTCTCCCTCTCCCACTCCCCCTGCTTGTGTTCCCTCTCTCGCTGTGTTTCTCTCTGTCAAATAAATAAATAAAATCTTTAAAAAAAAAAAAAATGGGAACAATAGAAGCTCCCTGTAATATTGCTATGTGGATACAATTTCATTCTGCATGTGCATTTACTGGAACATACACAATGAGTGTTAGCTTTTATCGGGAATGGTCCTATCTCCTGGCTTTACTGTGAGAATATTCAATATGTTAAATATCATACGACCTATTTGATACAAGAGGTTCAGTTATTACTGCCATAAACATCAAGTAGCTACTATGTGTAGATGTATAATATTATCTAAGTGTATTAAAATAAGTTCCTGTCAAGAAAATTTTTTGCTATAAATATTATTTTGATTTGGAAAATTCTGACTTTATATAAACTTATATTTAAGAAAAATACTTGCCTCCAAAATTGGCTAACTCAGGAAATTGAGAGGATATGTTTACTAACCACAAATTTTGTTTTGACAGACACTAAAATAATAGAATGGAGGACACAAGGGGTAAGTATTCTGCAGATACCTTGGCCTTATATTATTAAGGGTATATTTTAGACCTTCTTAAAGACCACAAGCGCACTTTTCCCAAAAATCATTATATTTATGTAACAAAACAACAGGGAACAAATTTGGCCAAGGTATCCTATTTTCAGTTCACAGTGATGTCATTTTTTTCACCCATCATGTCAGTTGGAAACTGATTAAGTTAGTAACAAGAGCAATGTTCGACCCATCGGTTCTTCCCAGTTCCCTGAGTGAATTCACCCTTCTACCAACTGAGCCCCCAAATTTATCAGGCCTCATTTTTTGAAATAAAGGATGAAAGCACTCGATTCTGGGAACAACACACTTTTGGCTCAATTTTCAAAAGCTTAACATGCTAGATTGTGCAGTTTCTTGGTTTTACCCCCAGTATGGCCTTTGTTCATTCCTCCTTTCAGTTGTTCCTGTCCCCAAGAAGGGATCAGAAACACCACATTTCAAGAGCTGGGTGGAGGTCTGAGATATAACCTAGTCCAGCCCCTAACTACTAATGAAAAAGCTGAGGCCCAGGAAGTCTGAGTGCCCTGCCAAGTGCTCTTGACTAAACACAGATATCCTCATTCCCCATCTACCGTGTTTTCCCTGCCCCATTGGCCTCCACATTTTGCTTAAGGGGAATTTCAACAAAGAATTCGTTATCAGATTTTATACAGCCCTGGGCTTCCAAAACACTTCCAATGCCAGTTAACAGTGAGATGTTGTTAACTATTAAAAGAAGAAAGAAGAAAAAGGAAAAAAAAAAGTTAGCTTTGTAGCACTAGCAGGTGTCTCAGAATCTATGAAGCTATGGAGACTCCAAAATACAGAGCTCAGGGAAAGAAGAGATTTGACTCCCTAATAAAAGCGCGTATTATCCCAAACCCTCTAAGAAACCAGATGCTAAGGATTGTACTCTGGAAATCTGCTTGGACAATATTTTCCTTTAATTTTCCCTAAAGCATCTTACAAAACCATAGTTCTCCAAAGTTTCTACTGAAATGGAAGCACACCTTTTAAAATCTGAGCTTCACTACATGGAAAGAGCATTATCTTATCTGCGTTTATTCAAAATGCTCCGACACATTTGTTACTTTGCTGAGGTGTTTGGTTTTTTTTTTTTTCCTTCGAAAACAGCCTGCTATCTAGACCTGTGGCTTCTGCGACTGGGGGACTTTTGAGGTGAAGTGTGGCAGCTTCCAGCCTGGAGTCTTTCCGCCCGATATGGTCCAGCGCTTCCGAGGCTTCCCTTTGCGCACCGGCTCGCGTCAGGCAGATGCCGGATGTTTGCCCGGTGGCTCAGGTTCATCACCTTGGACCTTTGCAAGAAGCTGGCGCCTCCCCAGCCTCTCCCCGCGCCCCCGCAAAACCTCTTCTGGCCACGACGGGTCAGAGATTTGCAGCCTCCCTTGGCCAGGGCGCGCGCCAGCAGCGGACCGGGGACCCCGGCGTGCGCTCGCCTGGCCCTGGCACCGCCCTCCCCGCGCCCGCACCCAGCTGCGGATCCCGCCCTCTCTCTGCAGCCGCTCTTTTCTCTCTCCGTGCAACCCCCTCCTCACCTCTGCTAAAAATAGGCGGCCTCGCTTCTAAGAAACCAAGCACAAGCCCCCCACCCCCCCCAAAAAAAGTTCTGACTTGAGACACACGCAGCGCAGAGGATCTTCGGGTCAAAGCAGGCGACACTGCCAGCCAGGCTGACCCGCGCCCTCGGATAGCCCCGGACCCCCCCGGGGGCAACTGCTTCCCGCGTCCCCCTCGCTGTTGCCGAAGGACTAGCCAGCCCAGGGTCAGCACCGAGCCCGAAAACTGCCCCTGGGCCACTGAGCCGACGAGCAGGAGGGGGACTCGCGGGGCAGAACTAGCAGAACCAAGCGGGGCGAGGAGCGAACCCCATCCCCCGCACGACCCGGAGTGCTCACGAGACAGAGGACCACGGTCACTGACCATGCCACGGGGGGGGGGGGAAGGGGGTGGCCCTTCCCCTCGCCGCTCCCCACACCTCCGGGCCAGAAAACACACACTCGTACACACCCACAAGCACACACGCCTGCACTCCGCCCCAGACCGGGAGGCAGAGGCGGGGAAGGTATGCGGTGCCCCGCCCGGGGTACCTGCCCCGCACGCCACCCAGGCAGCGCCTCCGCCTCGGAGCAGACGGACAGACGCGCGGGAGGAAGCCGGCACCCGGGCGTCCCACCTGGGGAGCCTCGGGGCGCCGGCGGGCGGTCGCAGCGCCACAAGTCCCCGACGCGCCCCTCTCCCCGCCCACCCCCGGCCCCCTTCCTTACCCAAATACTGCCGCAGGTCGAGCAGGAAGCGAGGGGGTCCCCCGCTGAGCTGATAGAAGAGGGAGCCCAGGCAGAAGACCAGCAGGGTGGCCATGCAGAAGCCGTAGTCCCGGAGGGAGAAGCGCAGGAAAGGCAGCAGGGAGACCCGGCGCTTCCAGCTGCCCAGGCCCGGAGGGGCGCCCCCCAGAGGGGCCCCATGGGGCCAGGGATCCGCGCCGCCGCCGGGATGCTGCTGCTGCTTCTTCATCGCCTGCTCCGCCGCCTCGCACAGCCTGCCCGAGCCAGGAAAAGGTCACCCATCCGCCTGCGAGGAGGAGAGCCCGGCCGGCCGGCTGCACATGGGCAGGGCCGCGCGGAGGGCAGCCCGGGTGGGGGCGGGGAGGGGCCGAAGTTGCCGGGCTCAAGAGACTTTCCTCGGCATGGTCCCCGCCGCCGCGGCCCGAGCGGCCG